TTAATTGTGTTCATAAGTATTTATAAATATTTAGATTCTTTATAAGTATTCATTATGTGTTTTTGTTGAATCAATTTTTATTCTATTAAATGATTTAGGATATGAGTATAACATTTAAATATTTCTGTTAGTGTATTCCAAAACCAATTATTATTTAAGAATCTTTAGTTTGACATATTAAACGATAGAATTTAATATGTCAAAGTATGTGCGATTGCAAGAAATAAATAATCATTCATTTTTTATTACATATGTATATGGTATTAGCTTTTCTTCACGGTCTAATCTGCCATTAAAAATGTGTTTTTACGAAACGATCCCAACGGGATATTTTTAACATAATTAAAAATATGTTAAAGTAAGGATTTTTCAGGTAGTTCACCTTTTAAATTAAATATATTAAATATAAAATAAGATGGGTATTATTGTATTACTAATCTGCCATTAAAAATATGACAAAGTAAGGGTTTTTTAGGCAGATCATATTTTTACAAAATCACTCGTTCTTTTTTAGATAGATAGATAGATAGATAGATATAGATAGATTAAGCATTAATGTCATTCTTTTTTAAAAGTTTAATAATATTTTTATTTCTTATCTATTTTTATATATAATATTAAATTAACTTTTATTTTAAATTTTCAATTTGACAATCATATTGTATGTATGAATAAAATATAATTATTTTTAAAGTATCAATAAATTTATAAGTTAACATTGCATATGAAAAATGAAGTTAAATTTATTATTAGTTAATACTGATTTACAAATAAGAAATTAGTCTCAAGTTATCTATAAATATAAATGAATTCATAATGAAATGTATTCATGATAAAATAATCTAACATAGTAATGAGTATGTATAGCATTTATGGTTTTAAAGCATTTATAAGTAAAAATTATTTAAAAAATAAAATAACAATATTAAAATGAGAAACTAATGGGTCATTTGTCGAACTGCCACGTGAATTACTAGATTATGAAGTATCAAAATATTCATAATATGTTTTGGGATAGATCATGATAAACCAATGAGTCATCTATCGTAGGGGTGTTCACGGTCCGGATTGGTCCGGTTTTAGCCCAAACCGTGACCAAACCGGACCTAACGGTTAATTTTTTTTCTTGTCCATAACCGGACCGGTATTATTTTTTAACCGACCACAATCCGGACCGCATTGGACGGTCCTGTTTGACGGTTAACCGGTTAAATCCAATAGTCAATGATCAATGGAGAATCTGGAAATTCAATACACAATCTTTTTTTTTTTATCAAACGATTGTAATTGCATTAACAAACTAATATGTAAGGAATTCATGGGTCGGCAGGGGATAAATAAGAATTAAAAAATATATATATATAAAAACAAAATAAAAAAATAATAACTGTTATTGAGTATAAAAATGGAAATCAATATTCAAGTTTTACTTAATAATAAAATATTAAATTAGTGTAACAACTATTTTAAAAAGGTGGGAACGGTTAAGAAATCAGTTAAATATTTTTTTGCCATGTGTAAAAAGGCGTAGTAGTGTAAACCAAAAGTCTAGTTTTGGCTAAATAATATACGGGTTGATTAATGTAAATAGTTTTTTATATTAAATAAGGGATGTCCTTATTTCCAAGTTCTTGGAGCCCAATATTAAGTTGGCCTAATTGTACCATCTCCATATATATATATATATATATATATATTTTATAATTTTTTAATATATACCGGTCCGGTCCGGTTAAACCGGCGGTTTGCCGCAGTTAATCTGTTAACCGGACCGGTGATTCCGGATTTTTAAAAAAATTAACCACCGGATTTTTTAATGCTTTTTTAACTGACCATTTAACTGATCTGCGGTCCGGATTGACGGTTTTTTCCGGTTAAAACCGGACCGTGAACACCCCTAATCTATCGAACTCTAATATTAAATTATAATTTTATAAAAAAAAATTAAAAAATATTTATAATGTATATTGTTATAAATTATAATAACAAGCTAACAATTCATCTATCGAACAACAATGTAAATTATTAGCTTAGAAAAATAAAAGTCATAATATTTATAATGTATATTGTTATAAAATATAATGATATATCAATCGGTGGTGTCAAACTATCGTTGGGATTTTACTGACTGCCTCGGTGAGAATCTTGATGTCAGCTCAGGGGATTCAATATTTCTATTTTCTTTTTGTTTCAGGGAATAACTTTTCTGCTGGTTGGCCTCGACCTAATTGGGGAACAAGTGAGTTGAATCGTGAAAAAAATAAGCAGACATTGTGAAAATTATTTCATGCATGGAGTCAAAATTACATGTTTAATTTCTGGGTAGGAGTTGGTGGAGATTGGTTTGTGCTTAGTGAGGACTAGTAATGGATAAAGTTGGTTGCTTGTTAGTGAGAACTAGTAATGGAAATTGAGTTGAAATCTCTTATTATTATTATTTTTTTTTCCTAAACTCAATGATTTTTTACCCCCAACGGTTCTGATAATTTTTTTAGATTGTAATATCAATTTCTAATTTTTACATATTTATTCCTCAACTATAATTCAGAGTGTTTCATTGGAAAACGATTTAAATCTACCTCGGTTTTCTTCATTGATCAATTTTTGTTTTGCAGAAGATATCAAAAGTTATGAGCCGTGCAGTCCGTCTGAAAGAAGCTCTCTCGATCGATTGTGAAAGGGTCCTAGTGATTTGACTTCAAAACTCACTGCCTGTTGTTGGCTCGACTAACACTTGGCCTGTAATGAGACTTAGATAAGTCGAGCAAACATCATAAGACATGATACACGGTGTCGAATTTGAGCAAATGCATACACTTGAGTATTATACTGTATATTTCATGGTGTATGTATAGGTTCCATTTTGCCTTTCAGAACGAATTGTTCGTCACGTTAGTATGTACAGAGAACTCCCTGCGTTGCTTTCAGTCTGTCTTTATGTACCGAGAACTCCCTGCGTTTTTTTCAGCCTGTCTTGAAATATCTCCTTTGTCCCCTTACAATGTACCAATTGAATATTTTCGAGTTATGTATTGTCCTTTACAATCATATCCCCTCAATTGGCCAAAGCCACTTGACATGCCATCGAGCCGCACAGAGGCAAAACTGGTTGTCCTCTAACCACTCGACTGCACATCCGATTTGAACATTGTGATTTCGATTATGAAAAATACATGTAACCTGAGATGCTAGCAACACTCTTTTATGGATAGAGATTGGATTCAAATTTAAAGGATGGATACAAAGGAATCTGAAATCCATGGATTTTAGCCAAAGCTGTAGAAGGAATTCATTTAAATATAAAAAGTACTCAAGAGTCAAGTCCAAAGATGTTGCTGAATTTGGAACATGATTGCGAATTGAACTTTGTAACATGTATATAATAAGATTGCAAATTGAACTTTCAACATGTATATAAGCTCCAATTTTTTTTTAAGATACAGAAATGTTGAGCAGTATAAGTTTTGGCAGTTTGGCAGCAAGATTTTCATCTCTTTACATTACAGACTAATAAGCAACTAAATAAAAATTACCCCAGAAATAATTATGTCCAGATACATATGCATTGATCTCAAAGTTTATATCAATTTTAACCAAATTGTATGCATTCAAAGGTCAGCTACTCCTGAAAATTAAGGACATGCAGTCAAAATTCATGTTGAGAGAGTACTATATAATCAGCTTTTATCAAATTTTCATTAAAAAAAAAAAAGTCATTAATGAAAATTAATAAAATGCAATTCGTCCAGATTTCATATTAGAAACTTACACGTAAAAAGAGCTAAATTCAGTGGAGTCCATTGCTTACCAAGAACTTTCCGGCCAATTAAACCAATAATTTGCCAAATTTTCATATTCCTTTATATCAGGTTTGTGCAAACTAAGATGCCACATTTATTCAGTTTTTTTCCCTCTTCAGCTCGAGTGAAGCATGTGTTTTGTGATCAACATAATCACAACCAAAAGCATTATAGATTTTTAACAAATCCAAAACATCAGATAAAAAATTATACTCAGGCATTAGTTAAAAAAAGCTTAAGATCAAAATAAACCTGATTATCAGCTGGATTAAATGAAGTTACCACCAGCCCATTCCCTTGCCAAACCCCATCAACATAGCACACTAAGAATTTCATATTGGCTCTTCACCACCCGTGGTGCAATAATAAGTTGAATTTACTGAAAGAAATGTCAAATATTTCATTATATGGAAAATATCATTTAGCATCACATATAAAGCATGTGTGATTAATTTATTCTCCGCAATTGAAAGTAAAATAGAAAAGAGAAATTGGGTTGGTTGAAAAAGTGAATGGGTTTTGTAATCCTTATCACAAAAAGCTTATAATAGTACATGAAAGTAGAATTATTACATGAGCAGAAGTATTGGTTATATGACATTATTGGTCAAGATGGGCTGCTCAGTACCTGGTCCCAATTGGAAACTGACCTTTTACCTAATCTATCATTCACATTTCATCTGTGAGCCTTCTTCGTCTTCTCCACAAGCCTTTGAGAAAATTTTTTCCAGCTTTCACTTCTCTTCAAAAAAATTTCCAAACTAAAGCTAAAATGGATTTCATTTCTCTTCTTACAAATAGCATAGACCAAATCCATGGCAGCTTATGGAGCTCTGCTTTCTCTTACAAACACCATACACCAAATCCAAAATCACCCTCGCCCACCCATCTCCCTCGACAAACTACAAATTGAACCTCTGATAGAAAAGGTTGCTTTCTTACAAGATTTTCTTGAAAATTATACCATTGATGAAGATGATGTAGATGGCTTGGAGGGGCGTATGGTCGATGTGGCTCACGAGGCAGAGGATATAATAGAGTCCCACACTGCCGATCATATTGAGGCTCGTGGTGAAGCTAACATCAGTTCGAATGATGACAACGAGTCTTTGTATCGAGAGCTATAGAAAGTGATTCACGACTTGGATTCCATCACAAAAGACGTGGCTGTTTTTAAAGAGAAGAAGGCCAGGAAAAAAAATGCTCCTTCTTCCATTGAGGATGACGCGCATGCTGGGTTCTGATGATGTCATGAACGACATCTTGGATAAGTTGAAAGGCCCTTCTTCACAAGGGAACGAAAGTGTCATGAACGACATCATGGATAAGCTGACCAGTCAGCAATCTAGTCGTTGGATCATCGCGATTGCCGGCATGGGTGGCATTGGTAAGACTACTCTTGCTAAAAGTATTTATGAAAATCCACTTATTGTGGAATACTTTGATATTCGCGGATGGGCTACAGTATCTCAAAAATTTGATTCGAAAAGGATTTTGCTACAAGTCCTAGACTGTTTGATAAACAAAGGGAGTGAGGACAGCGAATATGAAGAATTGGGACAAAAATTGTATCAGAGCTTATACGGCCGACGATATCTGATTGTGATGGATGACATTCTGGGTACGGACTCTTGGGACAGGGTGAAGTCCTTCTTTCCAGATAATAACAACGGGAGCAAAGTACTAATAACCACTAGGCCATCGAAACTGGCTTTGCAAATTGATGGCCCAGACTACTTTCAAATGCCTTTTCTGAAGCTGGACGAAAGTTGGAATCTGCTGCGTAGGTGTGTGTTTCAAGATCAAGGGTGCCCTCCGGAATTGGAAGAGATTGGGAAGGAGATTGCCGGAAAATGCGGAGGCCTTCCATTGTCGATTGTCGTGATTGGAGGACTTCTAGCAAAATCTAAACAATCACGGAAAAACTGGCAGCATGTTTCAGAAAATTTAAGCTCGATCGTGAATTTAGAGGATGACGAGCGTTGCTTTAGAATACTAAAGTTGAGCTACAATCAACTGCCGGTCCACCTAAAGCCGTGTTTTCTCTACATGGCCATGTACCCGGAGGACGACGAAACTCACGTCCCCACGCTCATCAATCTGTGGATCGATGAAGGATTTGTGAAACCGGTGGTCGGTAAAAGCTTGGAAACAACTGCTCGAGTAGTGTACCTACATGATCTCATCATTAGAAACCTAATCTTGGTTCGTAAGTGGGGCCCTACTGGAAGAATAAAACGGTGCGGCATCCCCGATCTCCTGAGAGACCTATGCATAAAAGAAGCTGAGAAATACAATTTCTTTCGCACGACGGAAACAACACCAACACACAACAACACTGAGCATCACGACCAAATTAGCTGGCGCGCCCAACGCCGTATCGTCATTCACCAAGCCGGGAAATATATTCCCAGCCCACTCCCTGAAACTGTTGCAATCCGCATCACGAGCAAAAACTATGATATGGAACGTTGATGGAAAATTACCATCCGTAGTTCCCTTTAGATTGTTGAGGATTCTGAATGGATACAATAGATCTTCATCTGTTGAACAGGCGGGCAAAGTTCGGCTCGAAGAACATTTTCATCTTGACAACTTGCGCCACCTGTTCATCAGAGCTAAACTGCCGAAGCTTGAATTTCCTCCGGAATTTTACCTACTCTGGAATTTACGGACGTTAATATTTGATAAGTACTCAAGCTACGATAATCAGCCGGTGTTGGACATCTGGCGGATGCCCCAACTGAGGCAGGTCAAGGTACTCGATCTCCTTCTCACGGATCCTCCTCCTCCTCCTCCAATGGTGTTGGAGAATCTGGAGACTCTCCAGAACGTACATAACTTGAGGTTATGTGAGGAAGTGGTTGAGAGAATCCCCAATATCAAGAAGCTGGGACTTTGTTACCAAAAGGAAGAGGAGGAATTATCACCTGGTGATTATTGTCTAGAAAATCTCTGCCAACTACATAAGCTGGAGGCCCTTACACTTAGTTTGAGGATAAGTGAGTGGCAAGGGACTTGATGATCATGTTCCCGGTTTCGCTCAGGAAGCTGACTTTGGAAGGCACGAGGCTCGGGTGGGAGGAGATGGGGACAACGATAGGGTCATTGCCATATCTCGAGGCCCTCAAGCTATATTATTATGCGTTCGTGGGGCTCGTGTGGGAAACAGTCGAGGGCGGATTCCCGAGCCTCAAGTACTTGGAAATCGTTTGGTTCTCTGATCTTGAACAGTGGAGGGCGGAGGCCACGCACTTCCCGCGTCTCGAGCGGCTCGACCTAGTGTTTCTAGACAAGCTGAAGGAGATTCCATAGGGAATTGGGGATATACCCACGCTTAGGGAGATCAAAGTGGATAACTGTGCTGACTCAGTGGTGCTTTCTGCAAAGAAGATATTAGAGGAACAACAAGAGTGTCTTGGGGAAGTGGACCTTCAGATTGAAGTTTCTCTGAATGACGAGAGCCAACTACAAAAAGAGAGCTTGAGGAGTCGGAACTTCACAGTTTCTCTCACATAAATTTTCATTGATGTTTGTCACACATTGTATACCAAAAATGATGTGTAGGATCTTTTATTGTAAATAGATACTTTGAATTTGGATTATAATTGCACCTTATTGCCCGCGAAGACATATGCAATATTTTAGTAGAACTTCGTGTGCGACGTATGCAATATTAGCCAAACTACGTTTATCAATTTTGTGTTCTTACATGTGTTACATGTGTTCTTACAACTTAGATACAGATAAGTACACAGGTAGTTGAAACATCAACCCAACATTATCAATTATTCAAAAATCACCTCACTCGAACTCGACTCATGTTCGGGTTTGCCAAAAGCTCGTTCTAGCTCGACACTATCAACAACCGAAACAAACCCAAAAACAATTTTCAAAACTCCACTGAAATGAAAGCAATTCTGCTTTTCACAATATAGCTGAAACAACAGAGAAAAACACACAATAGAATGCAAAATACTTTCAGTAAAATCCCAATTCCACACAGGCCTTCTCATAAAACCCATAATCAAANNNNAACACACAGGTAGACAAGAAACAACAAAATAAAACAGCACAGCCCAAATTCAAAGAACAAACAGCATTACCTGAGCGGAAGCTAGAACAACAGGGTCCATTATTAGAGTCCCAGAAACAGGACATTTGAATTCCTGAGGTGGTTCTTGAAAAGAAACATTCTTAAAATCAACAAATTCTTGATCCTAGTTTCAAACCCTTGAGAGCACACAAATTTCTAATTGCTTTATCAATTATCACCAAATTGTGGTCTCTTTCATCTTCCTCCACAACCACAAGCGCATCCATCAATTTTCCAAGCTCCTTCTTCAGCTCTGCAACTGCCTTAACAGCCATTTTTTATTTTTTATTTTTATTTTTCACGTTTCATTAGGAGAAGGGTGAAAAACAAAATTGTGACCTTTTGAAGTGTGATTAAGAGTGGCGCTCAAGATTTGCAGGATATTGAGGGGACTATCAACGGCTATGTAATGTGGTGGTATGATTTGCTTTTTTATTTTATTTTTGCTTTATAATTGCTTCTTGTTTCAGTAAAGTACAAAGGCATTTGGTTGTTGAGCATTTTTTTTAGCTCAAATCTAGATTCTATATTTGTTTGGGTTTTACTTTCAACCTCTGCACTTATAGCATAATTGGAGATTATAAAATAGAACTTATTATTACATTTAGAGGGGTGTATTCAATTTTAACTTTTAGAGATTTTTTAACATTTTCATAATTCGGTGTATTCAATCAGAACTTTTAGAGACTTCTGAAAAGTGTATTCAATTTAGACTTTTAAAAAGTCCTTAAAAATCTCAGGGTATTCAATTAAAACTTTCTGAGAGTCTCTATAAGTCACCTTGTATTCAAAATATGAAGACTTTGCGAGACTTTTTAAATTGTGAAACTTTTAGAGACTTTTCTAACAAATTACAAAGAGAAAGTCCCAACAGAAATCTCATCAATATTGGTGAGATTTTGCTGGACTTATGTGACTCTCTTTACGCTCCCTTTCTTTTTTCATTCTAACACGACTTTGTATCTCATATCACTTTCATGCTTTATTATTTTACTCATTTATTTTGATACCTTGTATAATTTTATCATTACGTATAACGATCTCTATTTTATATATTTTTTATGATAGTTATTTTATGTATGTATACCTTTATTATTTCATTTTGTTATCTTATGAATTTGATTTTTCAAAGGTTAAATTCTTCCATAGTTTGCACTGGAAAATAATTTATTTGTTCTCTCTTTTTATTTGTCAATGTTTATTTTTTAATATTAATAAAATTATTTTATTTTCTAATAGTTTATTTGTTGATATTGAATTATTTTGAATATTATTGATAACTTTATAAAATACAATTACTGTTTTTCGACAATGTTCGTATCTTCCATAGTTCGACTCGTTGAAGCTCGGATTGATTTGCTCGTTTAATATATCTAAAATTCTAAACAATTTGTTATTGTGGGTGTGTTGTAGTAGCCTAGGCTCTCGTATGGGACTAGATCCGGCTTTTGGCCGGTTGCTAGTTGTATGTGTGTTTTTATTCTTTTTAATGAAAGCCTATCGTTTCGAAAAAGAAAAAGACCACTTAGGCTTTCTCTAAATTAGAAGAACTTGTAATTTATGAGAGTTTCTATTGATGAACGGAGTCGAGTCTGATCCGAACATATTATATTCCTTAATTTAATGTGTAAACGAGCTGAACGAGCCTTTATCAAATTCGTCTCGTTTACAAAATGAGCACAAATACAATCTTAAATTTGACTCTCTTATCAATAATTACAAGCGACAACTTGAAGTTTAACGAGTTAACTTATGAAAATTACGTAAAAATACATATTTTTGAGTCTTAAGGAGTCAACCAAGCCGAACTTGACTCTCATATAAACGAGCTTGAAGTGGGCCCATTTATCAAATCAGCCGAGCTCATGAGCAACTCGTTTTATTTTACAACTATATTCATAATTTATTATTATTTATTCACTTTGATTTCTTGAAGTTTGCTCGACACTGTTCTTTATTTTTATTTTATTTATTACTTGGCATCGTTCCTATTGCCGAACAAGCTGAGGGACAGTGCATGAGCACAACGAGGAGACAATCTAGCTCAAGAAAAGCCTTACGTGGAAATCAAAATGCTCGAGCTTGACTCGAAATCAAAATGCTTGAGCTTGGCTCGAGTTTAGCTCGAAAATTCTTAAGTGGAAAAATAAAATTACCATTAAACACCTATGATATACTTGATATACTATTGTAATATATATATAGGGATATTTTAGTAATTCAACATATATCTCGAGTCGCTCGACAATGCAAAATATGGGCTCGAGCTGGACTTGAGTTCGGTCAAACTCGAGCTCAAGTCGAGCGTACGCGAAAGACTCGCGAGCCGCTCGATTCGCTTACCGCCCTAACTCTAGCAACATTTTTCCCACAGTTAAAACACACATGTACACAAGGAAAATTATCAAAAGCACCACAGTTGAACCAAAGGGAAACAAAACAAATTCAAACCCATAACTCCATTATCTACATCTTAGCATAAATTCAGTTAAAAAATCCCATCTTGATGAAGCAGCTAATTTATTCACCAGAGGCATGGACCAGTAAGCTTATAGCTCATGAAGGTAACAACGTAAAATCAAAAACAAAAACTGCTTCAAAATAAATATGAATCTATAGCTACCGAAATAACCAAGCACGCGCACGCGCACTTTGAGAGGCTCATGGGTCATTGCAGTTAAACCAAACAAGCAACTCGTAAGCTCGATTCGTGTGAAAAACAGAGTCGAGCTCTAGCTCATTTAAAACTCGTTTAATTAACCAACCGAACAAAGTTAGTCTAGCTTGTTAAAACTCGAAAATAGGGATTTTTATCTATAGCTTGGCTCTTTTATGCTATAGTTAATATTGATAAACTTGTATTCGAGCTCGTTCATGGAAAAATCAGCTCGGCTTAAACATATCTTGACATGGTCCTCACATGAAGCTGTTGTGAACTTGGCTAAGAACCATTTAGATTAACTAATAACATTGTTGGTAGAGATGCAATCATGAAAAGTTGAAGTAGCAAAATAGAATTATTCCATGTGCAGAATTAACTTAATGGCTGTAAATCAACATATTCCAATAATGGAGCAACTAATATCTGTTTCACATTTCATCCAAGGCTTGTTCTGTTTTTTTTTGTTTTTTTTCACCAAAAACACTTCCTGCTTTCAGTTCTCATTACACACTTTTCCTCATTTCACCAAACAGGGGATCCATCATCCATGGCAGCTTATGGAGCTCTGAGTTCTCTTACAAACACCATACACCAAATCCAGAATCATCCTCGTCCACCCATCTCCCTCGACAAACTAAAAATCGAACCACTTATCCAAATGGTTACTTTCTTGATGCAGTTTCATGAAAACTATATCATTGATGATGAAGATGGCTTGGAAGGGCGTATGATTGATGCGGCTCACGAGATAGAGGATATAATCGAGTCCTACATTGCCAATCATATTGAGGCTCTTTGGGATGCTAACATCAGTTGGAAGGCTCACTTTGTATGGAGAGCTACAGAAAGTGATGCACGACTTGGATTCCATCACAAAACACGTGGCTGCTGCTGTTAAAGAGAAGGCCGGGAAAAAAAATTGCTCCTTCTTGTACCGAGGGTTATGCCTCCTATGATGTCATGAACGACATCATGGATAAGCTGACCAATCAGCAATCCAGTCGTCGGATCATCGCGATTACTGGTAAGACCACTCTTGCAAAAAGTATTTACGAGCATCCACTTATTGTGGAATACTTTGATATTCGAGGATGGATTACAGTCTCTCAAGAATTTGATTCAAAAAAACAAAATTGTGACCTTTTCAAGTGTGGTTAAGAGTGGCGCCCAAGATTTGCAGGATATTGAGGGCACTATCAAGGACTATGTAATGTGGTGGCTCTCAAATGATACTATGGTTTGCTTTTTTATTTTATTTTTCCTTTATAACTGCCTCTTGTTTCAGTAAAGTACAAAGCATTTGGTGGTTGAGCATTTTTAAGCTCAAATCATAAATTCTATATTTCATTGGGTTTTACTTTCAACCTCTGCACTTAGAGCATAATTGTAAATTATAAAATAGAATTTATTATTACACTTAGGCTTTCTCTAAATTAGAACAACTTGTAATTTATGAGAGTTTCTATTGATGAACGGAGCCGAGTCTGATCCGAACTTATTATATTCCTTAATTAGATGTGTAGACAAGCTAAATGAGCCTTTATCAAATTCGTCTAGTTACAAAATGAGCACATATATAATCTTAAATTTGACTCTCTTATCCATAATAACAAGCCACAACTTGAAGTTTAACGAGTCAACCTATGAAAATTATTTTTTTAGTCTTAACGAGTCAACTAAGCCGAACTTGAGTCTCCTCTAAACGAGTTTGAAGTGGGCTCATTTATCAAATTACCCGAGCTCACAAGCAACCCGTTTTATTTTACAACTATGTTCATAATTTATTATTATTTATTCACTTTCATTTCTTGAAGTTTACTCGCGGCTTGCGGGCTGCCGTTCTTTCCCCCTACGTGGACTTCTCCCTTAGACCTGTGGCTGCCATGGTGGGCAGGCAGGCGGGCGAGCGACGGACACGGTGGCCGCCTGGTGGTGGTCGGTGTTCCCGAGGTCCGGTTTCTACCTCGTCGGCCCCTTTCGACTCTGGTGTTGTGTGCTTGGAGGCGGCCGACGGGTGCGGCTTCCCAGTGGGTTGCGGTCATTGGCTGGGATGGGAGAGGGTAGGGTGATGTCCTGGTGGTTCCAATTCGGTGGTGACTTCCTGAGTAGGATTGCGTCTTTGGTCCGATTCTAGATAGCCGTTAGAGGACCTTGTGTTAGGCTGGAATTCGATCCCGTTTGGATGGTTGCTTTTGTTGTCGGCTCGCTTGATGATTGTGAGTGGCTCAGCTTGTAGAGGAGAGGGCGTTAGTTTATCTATTAGTTTTTTTTGTTTTGTATCATGTGTGTTTTGTTTCTTTTCTCTCCTTTTGGGAATGTGTTGTTTGCATTCTCCACTCGTGACAAGTTTTCTCATGTCGGGAGCTTGTTAGTGTCTATGCGACATTTGGGTTTGGCCTCCCACTAAATTCGGCTCAATAGTTGTCTCAGTCAGTTGTTGTTGGCAGGTTTCTAGATGTATATATGTATTTTGTTCATAAAAGTTCTTA